AGCCATCCCAGAGCCATCCTCAGAGCCATCCTCAGTGCCATTCCCAGAGCCATCCTCAGAGCCATCCTCAGAGCCATCCTCAGTGCCATTCCTAGAGCCATCCTCAGAGCCATCCTCAGAGCCATCCCCAGAGCCATCCTCAGTGCCATTCCCAGAGCCATCCTCAGAGCCATCCCAGAGCCATCCTCAGAGCCATCCCAGAGCCATCCCAGAGCCATCCTCAGTGCCATCCTCAGAGCCATCCTCAGTGCCATTCCTAGATTCATCCCCAGAGCCATCCCAGAGCCATCCTCAGAGCCATCCTCAGTGCCATCCTCAGAGCCATCCTCAGTGCCATTCCCAGAGCCATCCTCAGAGCCATCCTCAGAGCCATCCTCAGTGCCATCCCCAGTGCCATCCTCAGAGCCATCCTCAGTGTCATCCCCAGAGCCATTCCCAGAGCCATCCTCAGAGCCATCCTCAGTGTCATTCCCAGAGCCATCCCCAGAGCCATCCTCAGTGCCATCCTCAGTGCCATTCCCAGAGCCATCCCCAGTGCCATCCCCAGAGCCATCCTCAGTGCCATTCCCAGAGCCATCCTCAGTGCCATTCCCAGAGCCATCCCCAAAGCCATCCTCAGTGCCATTCCCAGAGCCATCCTCAGTGTCATCCCCAGAGCCATCCCCAGAGCCATCCTCAGTGCCATCCTCAGTGCCATTCCCAGAGCCATCCCCAGTGCCATCCCCAGAGCCATCCTCAGTGCCATTCCCAGAGCCATCTTCAGTGTCATCCCCAGAGCCATCCCCAGAGCCATCCTCAGTGCCATCCTCAGTGCCATCCTCAGAGCCATCCTCAGTGCCATCCTCAGAGCCATCCCCAGAGCCATCCTCAGAGCCATCCCCAGAGCCATTCCCAGAGCCATCCTCAGAGCCATCCCCAGTGCCATCCTCAGAGCCATCCTCAGAGCCATCCTCAGAGCCATCCTCAGTGCCATCCCCAGAGCCATCCTCAGAGCCATTCCCAGAGCCATCCTCAGAGCCATCCTCAGAGCCATCCTCAGAGCCATCCTCAGTGCCATCCCCAGAGCCATCCTCAGAGCCATCCTCAGAGCCATCCCCAGAGCCATCCCAGAACCATCCCCAGAGCCATTCCCAGAGCCATCCTCAGAGCCATCCCCAGTGCCATCCTCAGAGCCATCCTCAGAGCCATCCTCAGTGCCATCCCCAGAGCCATCCTCAGAGCCATCCTCAGAGCCATCTTCAGAGCCATCCTCAGTGCCATCCCCAGAGCCATCCTCAGTGCCATCCCCAGAGCCATCCTCAGTGCCATTCCCAGAGCCATCCTCAGAGCCATCCTCAGAGCCATCCCCAGAGCCATCTCAGAGCCATCCCCAGAGCCATCCCAGAGCCATCCTCAGAGCCATCCTCAGTGCCATTCCCAGAGCCATCCTCAGAGCCATCCTCAGAGCCATCCTCAGTGCCATTCCTAGAGCCATCCTCAGAGCCATCCTCAGAGCCATCCCCAGAGCCATCCTCAGTGCCATTCCCAGAGCCATCCTCAGAGCCATCCCAGAGCCATCCTCAGAGCCATCCCAGAGCCATCCCAGAGCCATCCTCAGTGCCATCCTCAGAGCCATCCTCAGTGCCATTCCTAGATTCATCCCCAGAGCCATCCCAGAGCCATCCTCAGAGCCATCCTCAGTGCCATCCTCAGAGCCATCCTCAGTGCCATTCCCAGAGCCATCCTCAGAGCCATCCTCAGAGCCATCCTCAGTGCCATCCCCAGTGCCATCCTCAGAGCCATCCTCAGTGTCATCCCCAGAGCCATTCCCAGAGCCATCCTCAGAGCCATCCTCAGTGTCATTCCCAGAGCCATCCCCAGAGCCATCCTCAGTGCCATCCTCAGTGCCATTCCCAGAGCCATCCCCAGTGCCATCCCCAGAGCCATCCTCAGTGCCATTCCCAGAGCCATCCTCAGTGTCATTCCCAGAGCCATCCCCAGAGCCATCCTCAGTGCCATTCCCAGAGCCATCCTCAGTGTCATTCCCAGAGCCATCCCCAGAGCCATCCTCAGTGCCATTCCCAGAGCCATCCCCAGTGCCATCCCCAGAGCCATCCTCAGTGCCATTCCCAGAGCCATCTTCAGTGTCATCCCCAGAGCCATCCCCAGAGCCATCCCCAGAGCCATCCTCAGAGCCATCCCCAGAGCCATCCTCAGAGCCATCCTCAGAGCCATCCCCAGAGCCATCCTCAGAGCCATCCCCAGAGCCATTCCCAGAGCCATCCTCAGAGCCATCCCCAGTGCCATCCTCAGAGCCATCCTCAGAGCCATCCTCAGAGCCATCCTCAGTGCCATCCCCAGAGCCATCCTCAGAGCCATTCCCAGAGCCATCCTCAGAGCCATCCTCAGAGCCATCCTCAGAGCCATCCTCAGTGCCATCCCCAGAGCCATCCTCAGAGCCATCCTCAGAGCCATCCCCAGAGCCATCCCAGAACCATCCCCAGAGCCATTCCCAGAGCCATCCTCAGAGCCATCCCCAGTGCCATCCTCAGAGCCATCCTCAGAGCCATCCTCAGAGCCATCCTCAGTGCCATCCCCAGAGCCATCCTCAGAGCCATCCTCAGAGCCATCTTCAGAGCCATCCTCAGTGCCATCCCCAGAGCCATCCTCAGTGCCATCCCCAGAGCCATCCTCAGTGCCATTCCCAGAGCCATCCTCAGTGCCATCCCCAGTGCCATCCCAGAGCCATCCCCAGAGCCATCCCCAGAGCCATCTTCAGAGCCTTCCTCAGTGCCATCCCCAGAGCCATCAGAGCCATCCCCAGAGCCATCCCCAGAGCCATCTTCAGAGCCATCCTCAGTGCCATCCTCAGTGCCATCCCCAGTGCCATCCCAGAGCCATCCCCAGAGCCATCCCCAGAGCCATCTTCAGAGCCATCCTCAGAGCCATCCCCAGAGCCACCGACCATTCTGCTGAAACGTGAGCTCAGCGGCAAACTCTAGGACCCTCCGGGCCCTCTGCTGCCCTTCGCTCACATCAATTCCCCAAACCAGCCCGGGAGGGCCTCGCTGGCACAGTGGTGCGCACAGCACAGCAGGACTGAACACGCGGCCAGTTCCCCAGACGGAAGGTGCGAGCTGTTGGCGCTGAGGTGCGTGCACCCAGCTCAGGACTCCCCACACGGTGATTCCAGAGTCTGGCCATCTGTAATGCCACCCACCACAGTGCCTTGGCTCCATCCCCGCCAATTTCTCGTGTCGAGTTAATGCGGAACACACAGGCTCCTCCCATTCAGCGCGGGACCCTGAGAGCTCTCGGGAGCCCTGTGCCCCCGGGGCCCCGTGGGGACCCCACAGTCCTGGCCGCTGGCTGTTGGTTTTCACTTCTATTTGGCTGATTAAAACCAATAAACCAGCTGTAGAATAAGCCAGGAAGGTAGCAGGGACCTAGGGCTGCACCGCATTCTCATTCATTCCTTCACTCATTCCATCATCATTCAATCATTCACACAGTCCTTCCTTCCTTCCTTCCTTCCTTCCTTCCTTCCTTCCTTCCTTCCTTCCTTCCTTCCTTCCTTCCTTCCTTCCTTCCTTCAGCAACTGCCTGGGGAGCACCCTGCATCCCACCAAGTCTTGAAAACAGCCACTCGCCTGTGCCCGCCATGCAAGATGAGCAGAAGTGGAGATGCCAGGCTGGAGTCTGGCCACCTGGCGTGAACCCGGCTCTGTCACAGCTGGGCAGCCTGTGCGCCCCGGGCAAGCTAAGCCACAGTGTTTGGAAAGGGCAGATGATGCATAAAATCAGATGCGTCAACACTCAGTTAATAGGCGCCACAGTTATTGTCATCATCGCCACCGTTCTTGCTGCTCCAGCTTTCTCAGCCAACCACTAGGGACCCCGAGACTCTCCGGAAGAGATGCCCCACCTCCATGGAAGTGAGGGTTCCACTCTGCCTGGTTTTCCTGAGAGGCCCATGTGGGGACACCAGGTGCCCTGCAAAGGGGTAGTGTGGTCCCAGGTTTCCCCAGCCCCCACCCCTGGCCCTGCTGCCATTCCTGACCTGATGAGAAGCTGTGAACGTGAGGCGGGGAAGGGGACAGAGTACACCCTTCGTTCGGTGCTTCACTTGGCCCAGCCTCCCGCCAGGGCCTGCCTCCCAGCTGGCTGACATCTCCGCCGGCCCGGCGCCCCTGGCCCCTTTGGCACAGCTCGGTGGGAAGAGGGCCTTGGAGAGCCCTTGGCGGGAGCAGCGCCAGCGGTCCAGGGCAACCGCCCGGGGCATTGCCGCTGCTGTAATATTTGGCCACCGCTCGCCGCCAGGCTTCCCACAGCACCCCGCCATCTGGGCTGCGTCAAGGCCAGGCTTAGGGGAGAGATGACGGTTTCTGGCGGGATCGCTGCTCTGTAGCAGCTGAAGGCCCCGAGCTCTCGCCTCCAAGCAGCTCCTGGAACAGAATGAGCAGTCCCCCGGCCAGGCTTGGCTGGTCTCCACAGGAAGAGCACATCTGGGGGTCACTCAGGAGGGCCTGAGGCCCCCGCCCCACTGTTCACATCCACCCTCCCCTCGGAGGCCTCCGGTTCCACCCCAGCCCCACTCCACCACACATGCAGGGCCGGCCTGGGGCCACAGAGGTCAAGGCAGGTCCGTGCGTGTGGGGCCTCGAGGGGCAGGCACAGTTCTGCTCCACACGGCAGAGGTCCAGCGGGACCTGGGCTCCTCGGTGGAGGGGTGGCAGTCCCATGTGCCATTGTCCGGGAGGGCAGGGCCACGGCAGGAGCGTCTGAGCAGCGACTCGGCACAGTGACTGGGAATCTGGACAGTCCCCCTGCAGGAGGCTTGGATTCCATGGTGGTCACAACCAAGAGTTGAGTCCAGAGGCCAATTCTAAGCACCCCATATTATCTTGGGGCCTGGCGTAGTCTAAGGGACAGAGGTGGAGATTGAGGTGGGAGGGCAGCAGCGGCAGGTGGAGCACCTGAGCAGAGCTGGAACCCTAACCCTGGGTCTGTCTGCTTTGCAGCCCATAGCGCAGAGGCGGCTGGGAAAGCAGGGGGTGGCCACCTGCGCTGGGAGCCTCGCTGCCAGCAGCCCCTGACCAGCAGAGCTCCCGTCACTGCACTGCTGCCTCCACGCCTCGAGGGACCCTGGATCTCCACTGGGTAAGATCCGATCACCTTGACCTCAGGCCCTTGAGCTGGAAGACTCTCCTCTCCGAGCCTCGCTGGCCTATTGTCTAAGAGGCCTGCTTCCTGTGGCATAAAGCTTTACCCACCACCCCACCACCACCGCCAGCATGACCACCACCACCACCACGGAGTGAGCCAGCCACAAGCAGCACTGGACGAAATCCACCCACTGAACACATCAAACACTTACTATACAGACACTTATTGAGTGCCTGCTATGAACTAGGACAGAGGGGGACACGCTCTAAGCATGTGAGCACAGAAATAAGTATCACAGTCTCAAGATGGTGCTAAGCTCTGCAATGAAGGAAATAAAACAAGGATGTACTAGTGAGTGACCTGGGAGGGTTTTTGTGAGAGTGGTCAGGGAAGGCTTCTCGGAGGTGGTGACATTCCATTGAAAGCTGAAAGAAGAGGAGTCAGCCATCCAGAGAGCCAGGGGAAGAGACAGACAGAGGGCACAGCTGGTGCAAAGGTCCTGAGGCAGGAAGTGGTGGGTTAGAGAGGGCTCTGGTGTCCTGCTTGCCTGTCTAATTCTCTCTCTAACCTTACAGGCTGGCCTGCCACTTCAGGCACTGTTGCTCTCTGGGGCAATGGGCTTTGTGCTCTGCCCTCATTTATGGGGCCCTCCCTCTGGATGCGGGGATGAAGAGAGGGAGGCAGTGGCCTCCATTCCCAGCACACCACTTCCTCTCCCACCAGCCCCTTCCAGCCGGTCCCATTCCAGGAGCAGGGTCTGGATGAGCTCTCCGTGTCCTCCCTGCACCTTCTGAGGTCAGCGAGAAGCGAGCTGCCAAACATCTGCTATCGCTCTGGGTGGAGGGAGGACCTGGAGCTCAGCAAGGCCCCTTTGGATGCATTCCCAGGCTCTCCGCCAATCCACAGTCCGGGGGGACCCAGGCACCACTGGCAGGGGTCACTCTGAGGCACAACTGGGGCTCAGGAAGGGTAGGGACTGCTTGATGGCTGCTCTTGCCCCGGGGGCCAATTGCATCTGGAACAGTGCTTCTAGAACCTTCTTCGTAGAAAGCTCCCCCTGTAAGTCCCAGACAGTCTTAATGCAGAGACCGAGATGTCCAGTGTGACCTGCTGCTAGCCCTTAGGCAAACCGTCCCCTCCCTGGCCTTGTGAGGCCCGCGAGGAGAGGGCTGAGGCCACCCGGCGTGTGAGCATCCTTGTTGGTGTTTAACTCTCCCGGCACTTTCCTTACACTTTCCCTTTGCCCCGCCTGCCTTGTTGCCTTACCCAGGTTCCCTTATCCTTCGGCTGCGTGGAGGGACGCGGCCCAGTGAGCAGCCGCTCCTTGTCCTCTAATTATTTTTAAGGGAAGCGCAGTATCATCCCGGATATGGGGAGCAGAGCCACTGCCATAGTGGGAGGGAACTGTGAAAAGAAAGTCAATGAAAACCAAACGGCATAATTAAATTCTCACTAGGTCCGCTGCCCGCTGCGGCCGGCTCTCTCTGGGAGGAAGGGAGGCCGGTTAAAGACGCACCGGCCCCAGCAGCACCTCTGCTTAGCGCAGTCGGGCAGGCTGAGCAAGAAGGCCCATGGTGGGCGGCGGCCCCTGGTCCGAGGAACATTGGAAGGGGCACTGCCTGCTCTTCTCCCAGACTCATCCACCACATGCCCCGAGCCCTTGGTGGGAGGGTCCCAGCCCAGGTGTGACATGAGTCCCGGAGTCATTTAGCATTTCTTAGCACCCCAGCCCACCCAGTGCTCATCCTCACCACCAGCAGAATAGGGCCTGAGGACCTGGGGGCTAGGACCAGCCCAAACCAGTGTTTATAAATAAAGTTTTATTGGCACACAGCCATATCCCCACTTGCATAGGCTTCCGGCTGCTTTAGCTCTACAATTGTAACCTTGAGTAGTTGCCATAGAGACCACCCAGAAAAGCAATGATATGCATTATCTGAACTTTCAATGTCTGCTGACCTCGGCTAGGCCCACAGCCTGGCACAGGCATGGGTAAAACTTGGTAGGGAGGCCAGTCTTGCCGAGAGAGACAGGATCTGAGCGCCTACATCCATGCTCAGGAGGATCCTGGGTCCCGGGCTCTGGGCACTGCCTCTGGAACTCTTAGCACAGAGGTCCCCAAGTGGGACTCACTAAGATCACTCAGAGAAACTGAGGCTGTAGAGGCCCAACAGCCCTGAGGTGGGGTCTGCGATAGGTTTTTTTGTGGGGGACCCACCCAGAAAAGGGCTCAGTTACAGGTTCTCACTGCTCTGCCCATCCCGTCTCTCCCACCCGACAGCTGCGAGGTACGACCTGGGCCCGAGTTCCTCACCCGTTCCTACACCTTCTTCCCCAGCCGCCTCTTCCGGGCCTACCAGTTCTACTACCAGGACCCCCTGTGCCAGGAGCCTGCCCACTCCCTGGTCATCAAGGGCAAGATCCGCCTGCGCCGGGCCTCCTGGGTCACCCGTGGCGCCACTGAGGCCGACTACCACTTGCACAAGGTGGGAATCGTCTTCCACAGCCGCCACGCCCTGCTGGACATCACCAGGCGCCTCAACTGGACCCAGGCCAGCCGTGACTGTGCCCAGCAGCTGCCCCCTGCCCAGGCCTGGGTACCAGAGGCGCTGTATGAGCTGCTGAGCGCCCGGGCCGGGCGGGACTGCACGGCCGCCCTGGGCTTCACCATGCACGAGCTCAGCCTGGTCCGAATGCAGCGCCGCCTGCAGCCGCGGCCCCGGGCCAGGCCCCAGCTGGTGGAGGAGCTGTACCTGGGGGACATCCACACCAACTGGGCAGAGAGGTGGCACTACCGGCCCACCGGCTACCAGCGCCCGCTGCAGAGCGCCCTGGTGAGTGTCATCCTGGGAGGGCAAGCTCGGAGCCGCGGCCCAGTAGGCCCCACCTGATCTGCCCCTGCCCAGGGCCCTCGTGCTTCCCTGCCCTGGTCTGGGGGCCACGTGAAGTCCTTACTCTCCCTTCATTTCAGAGTAGAGATGAGTGTAAACAGTTCCCTGGATCCTTACTAATGTTAAAGTGAGGCAGGCAACTAAGTCAGAGGTTCTGGAAGCTGTGGGGGTTTGTTGTCTACATTCACAGTGAGAAGAAACATTAACTTTTAGCAATTAAAGCAGCGATTTTCAATCTCCTCATCTCACAGCACATAAATTAATTGCTAAAATTCTGCAGCATACCAAAAAAGGTATTTTTTGCTGCTCTGAGAAAAAAAATTGGTGCAATTTTGATTCATTGGCACCTAACAGCTATTGTGCTGGCTGTTGACAATTTAAGGGAAAACAGGTCAGTATCCCCGACTGAATAGTCAGGAATTGCATGTTTTAAAATGTCAACACACCAGGGTGCCTCGGCACACTGGTTGAAAACCACTGAGTTAGAGGTTAGTAAAAAGGAAGCCAAGGTTAGGCTCCAGGTTGAGAATGTCTGAACTTGGCACCCAAGGGACATCCTTCAAAAGTAGACGGAGGGAGGGATGGATGAGGTCAGGTGTCCCTGTCAAGTGCTCAAGGCAACTGTCACAACATTCAACAAGTATTAAGTGTCTACTGTGTACTAGACACTCAAGGAATGAAAACAGGTGGGGCAACTTCTCACCCCTGGGAGCACCCCAGGGGGTGCCTGGGGATGAGTCCACCCCTCTTCTCCCAAGGCAGGATTTGGGGAGCAAAGAAGAAAGCACCAGACATTCCTATCATCAGAAAACCAGCCTGCGTTCTTTCCTAACCTCAAAAGTATTCCCTTTTTGCCAGCTGATGTTCTAGACCAGTGGTCGGCAAACTGCGTCTCGCGAGCCACATGCGGCTCTTTGGCCCCTTGAGTGTGGCTCTTCCACAAAATACCACGGCCTGGGCGAGTCTTTTTTGAAGAAGTGGCGTTAGAAGAAGTCTAAGTTTAAAAAATGTGGCTCTCAAAAGAAATTTCAATCGTTGTACTGTTGATACTTGGCTCTGTGGGCTAATGAGTTTGCCGACCCCTGAGCTAGACGGTCTGGCATTACTCCTCCCTCAGAGAAGGCGCTGGCGGGGTCAGGACCTGAGCCCGCCACCTCATTAGGGAAACCCTGCACACAGAGGACGGACCCCTGGTGCCAAGAAGGACACTTTCGTGTCTTCCCAGGCTGGGCTCCGGACAGCCTCGGCCTCTGCTGCCTCACCAGCCCGCGTGGCCGGTGGCACCTGCGATGTGTCAGAGGCAGAGCACCAGGACGCTTGCCGAGGTGAGGAGTGGCAGATGCTCGGACAGGAGGTTAAAGGGCCCCTCTCCGGGGAAAAAGGAAGATGATTTCGAAGAAGGAGATGCTGCATATTCTGTATATCCCTAAGTAAGGATCAATCGTGACCTTGGGCTCTCTGGGGCCCAGGCCTTGTCCACGACCCAACCAGATGTTAAACATGAACATTTTTAGAAGTTAATTTCAAACCAATTTGATCCCCAAACTCATTGCCTGGATGTAGAATCCTAATCAATCATCCAGCTCTCAACCAAGAGCATCCAAGCCCGGTGTCCCCTCTGGGGTTAATTAGAGGCCCGATGTGCTGTGTGAGAAACAGCTTTATGTAACAGGCTTGAGCCTGGCTCCTGCATCCGCGCATTCTGCTGGCTGGAGGCTTGTTTGTGAACACAGGCCACCGGGCCTCGGCCCAACGACGCCCGGGAGACGGACAGGCAGGTCCTTCCTTCAGCCCCTTCGAGAGCACCAGAGAAGAACGTGCCTTTTCTCCCCTCCCCTTACAAGTGCGCAGGTTCTCCGCCGGGTTCTGCTCCCCACAAAAACGCCCCAAATTACAGCCAGCACCCCCAGTGTCCTGTCTGCAAAAGGCAGCTCCGTTCTGGGGAGAAGGCGGCCCTGGGTCACGTTGCTGTGATGCCTTATGTTCTGGGGACACACTCCAGCACGACAGCAGCCAGGACGCGGGGGAAAGGCCAAAGTTAGAGCGGCTCTCGCCAGCCGCCCCGCCATGCCCTCCCTCCGCCAGCTGCCCAGCACAGATTTGCTATCATTTACTAATATTTCAAAGCTCCTCCAAATACTCTGAGTCAAAACCCCCCAAATCAAAACCGCTTACTTTTCTACATTATGGAAATGAAGGCAAGTTTAGATTTGCTGTAGAAATAAATAATAAGCTTATAATGTGGTCATCCAAAAAAGAAGAAAAATATTTCCCATCATCCACTATTTCCTTTCTAAACCAGCACTCCCAGACACCACTTGTTTGGCATGAACGTCACCCAGGAGCAATCTGTGAGAACCTCTTGTTTTTGCAAGAAGATGACGACGACGGGAAGCTGGCTTCCCAGCTGGGTCCGAGGAAGCCTTTCCCGTGCCCACCCTGCAAACGCAGGTGCACGCTGGTCCCACGCCAGCCCTGCCGGCGAGGGCTGTGCCAAGCAGATTCACCTTTCAGAACGATGCTCGGGACCAAACTCTGGGCAGCAGCCATCGTTAAAAACAACAAGACTGACTACAATTCGTTTTAGCATCTGGTTGTTATTGGCGTGTTCCTGGGAAACCGTGAATAAGGCCAATGAGAGGGGAGATGCAGAGCCCAGGTTACAAAGAGCTGTGGCTGCACCTGACACCGTGGGGTGGCCGGTTGTCCCTGCTGTCAACGACACCCCAATGGACAGCTCCGTGCAATATCCCAGCCATCTCCTCAGCACGGGCTCCAAGCGATGGGCTCGGCAGACAGGGGCATTCCCACCCTTGGTGCCTGCTCCCCTCCCCAGGTGACCTTTCTGGAGACAGTCTCTCTTCTCCATCCGGGAATGGAGACCCAGACTCTGGGGAGGGCCTGAGGCTTTCTGCATGGGAAGAGGATGGGGTCTGACCGCCAGGTTCAATGCACCTCTGCCACACCCTTGGCGGGCCGCCTGGCCCACTGGGTTTCAGCTGCTGCTACCTAACATGCAACCATTGCAGGAGACATGCTTAGCCCAGGTCCTGGCCCTCGGGGACACCTAGAAGCACAAAAGGGCAGAGAGTCTCCTTGGCAAGGAAACTATAATAAACCTTCACGGCCGAATTTTAGGACCAAGCAGGCAGGGGCGGGAAAGAACAACTTCTGTCAAGTCCCAGGACAGAGGGCACCTCCATTCCATTTCTCATCCATCCATTCATCCATCCATTCCTTCATCACTCAGCAAATGTGTTCCTGCTATGGCCAGGAACTGTGCCAGGGCCTGGGGACAGAGCAGCCACAGACAGTCCTGGCTTCCTAGAGCTTACGGTCTAAGGAAGGGGAGGGCGGAGAGAAGGCAGAGGGGGAATGACAGGTCTCTGAGCACGGAAAGGCCCTGAGGATGCCCACATGGTGGTCAGGAAAGAATCCCTCAGGCCCCTCTTTGATCTGAGTCCCAGAGGACGAGGAGCCCAGCAAGCTATGCTCTGGGGGTCCCAGGTGGAAGGGACAGCAGGTGCAGCGGCCCAGAGGATCCAAGAAGAGTTGGAGGCTGAGAGTGGAGAATGATGGGTGACCGCTGGGTAGGCTCCATGGCACCCCATCCCAGAGTGCACCCCGACCCCGGCCGGGACAGTCACTGCCTTTTGTCTCTTTCAGCACCACGCTCACCCCTGCCCGGCCTGCAGCCTCATCGCCCGCTCCGACCAGCACCATCCTCCCGTGCTGCCTGCCCCAACGGCCCTGCCCCTGCACCTGGGCGGCCGGTGGGTCAGCCCCGGGTGCGAGGTGCGCCCCGCCGTGCTCTTCCTCACCAGGCTCTTCACCTTCCACGGGCACAACCGCTCCTGGGAGGGGTACTACCATCACTTCTCAGACCCCGCCTGCCGGCAGCCCACCTTCACGGTCTACGCAGCCGGCCGCTACACCAAGGGCACGCCGTCCGCCAAGGTCCCCGGTGGTACCGAGCTGGTGTTCCACGTCACAGAAGCTCGTGTGACCCCCATGGACCAGGTCACCATGGCCATGCTCAATGTCTCAGAGCCCAGCAGCTGCGGGGGCCCGGGGGCCTGGTCCCTGGGAACAGAACGGGATGTCACGGCCACCAATGGGTGCCTGCCTCTGGGCATCAGGCTCCCGCATGTGGAGTACGAGCTTTTCAAGGTGGAGCAAGACCCCCTCGGGCAGAGCCTGCTCTTCATCGGACAAAGGCCCACCGACGGTTCGAGTCCGGACACCCCCGAGAAGCGCCCCACGTCTTACCAGGCACCCCTGGTGCTCTGCCACGGGGCGGCCCGGGACTTCTCCAAGCCCCCCCAGCACAGGCCTCTGCTGCAGGAGCCCCTCAACAGTGGGGGGTGCTGGCCTCCAGTGGCCCCTCTCCCCTTTCTGCTCCTCATTCGTGGGCTGGCCTTCCTCCAGCGGCTATGAGATCGGGTCACCGGCTGACCCCTGGACTCCAGCCCAGCGCAGGCCCGCACCTATCTAAGAGGAAGGCCTCCTCCCCTCTTCTCCCTCACAGACAGGAGGGAGCCTGCCCCCGTCAGCTCAGCCTGCGCCTCGGGGGCTCAGCCCCTGCGTGCAGCAGCCCCTGCGGAGTGCACACTGCGGTGGGTTACTGACTGTGCCCATGAGCCTGGCCTCGCGGCCATGTCGATGGCTCTGAGTTTTGAACACTGGCTCCCACCCTCCGTGGGCAGTTGGAGGTCCTGCACCAGGGCCCCCCTTATTCCCTGTGTCCTTGGGATTCTGTGCAATGGGGGTGAGGGTCTGCAGGGGACGCTGCCCCACGTCTGCCTGTGCGAGCGAGTTTCCTTAAAGATCATTAATTCAAATTAAGCAATACACACTCAGGCCGTGATTACAGATGCCGCTCAGGCTCTCGGTTTCAGCTCTCTGGCAGAAGGCTGGTCTCTGTGGGGAAACTCAGCTTCCCCGAATCCCGACCGGGGGCGTCTGTGTGCACCTGCCCGCGCTCTGCCAGGCAGGCGGCCAGCGGGCAGCGCGTGGGGAGGCGCAGCCTCGGGCGCGGGCGGGCTGCAGCTGAGCCCGAGCGGTGGCCTTTGCCCCCACCACGCTGGGCTGGCTGCCGGGAACCGGTCTGCGGGGGAAAGCGGTGCTCCCAGCCTTGGGAAAGTAATTAATACTAATGATATCGGCATTACCACGCGCTCTGTAATTAGCCCTGCACAGGTGTTCTCTGCTTTCAAGATTCCCTGTGCCTCACGGACGAGGGAGAAAACCACTTCGAATGTGTCTCGGGGACCACCCAGGCCGCATGGCGACAGGGGGGAGCCGCTCCTGCGCCCCGTGCCCCGCTGGGAGCCGTGCCCGGGCGGGACAGGCTGTGCCTCCCCAGGCCCGCTGCGGGCCGGCCGCGCCCGTTCACTGTGAAATTAACTGGCGTCCTGACAAAGCGCCCCCTCCTTCCTCCGCCCGATTCCTATCTCTGGCTCTTGTCACGGATCTCGAACAACAATTGTCTGTGAGGCTAATGACGCTTTCAGAACAAAGCCCTTGTCCTCCATTAGATTGTGTGGGGTTCAATCAGCCTGCTGAAATTGCTCTAACTTATCTACCCATTCTTCTTAAAAAAAAAAAAAAAAAAAAAAGCCACACACCACCAAGTTCATATTGTCTGTGGGTCTCAGAGAGTGACGAGTGTTCCTGGCATATTTACGAAAGCACAAGAAGTAATTATTTGTGGTCTCAGACTGCATCGAGTGGTGGGGGGGAGCGGGGGGGTTCCTCATGGGGAGGAGGGTGGGTGGCGCTGATGTGTCCACGGCTGAGTGAGTCTTGTATCTAAGGCTTGAGGCAGCCATGCCACCATTTATCATCAAATTTGAATCTTTTAATAAAATTAAACAGTCTGAAAAATGTTCTCACCAGTTATTAAAATCAACCAAGGGGATGATGATCTGAGAGAAATGAAGTGTCTTTCAGAAAGAGAATGAGGTCCGCGCCGGCCATCGCAGGCTGGCCGCACCACGGCCAGCCCTGGCTAAAGCTCTGGAGCCACCAGGACCCTCTGAAGAAACCCCAGCTTCTTGCTCACCGCTGTCTGCACAGTCCCACCTGCCCCCCCACTCAGCTTGCACCCGGTCCCTTCTTCCTCTGAGCACAGCTAGCCGCTCCCCCCTCCGGGCCTCTGCACGTGTTATGGCCTCTGCCTACACCTCTTCCCCCAGGTCCTTAAGCTTGGCTCTCTTCACTCAAGCTGAGACCACATGTCCCTTCCTCAGGTGACACCCACCACCAGCATCCCCAAAGGGCAGCCTCCTTCCCTCCCTCGCCTTCTACCCGCCCTTCACCCGGTTGCCTTGGATTATGCTTACTGACGCGAATGGAAAAGGGAAAGACTGAGTCTGGCACAGCGACCTTTCCGAGCAGGTCCGGCTGCCTGGCACCCAGTGGGAGCTCAGACCGCCTGCCACCTGCGGGGAGCTCACTGCCGCCAGGCACAGCCTCCCTGGCGGGGCCCCACAGTGTGGGTGCGATGTGACTGCTTCCTGCCACTTGGGAGACAGGGGCTGGCCGAGGCCCCCAGCAGCTGGGCCTCCTCTGGCCTGGCATTGGGGCTCAAGTCCCTTGACAGGAGTGGGATTCCTTAACTGTATTTGGGGGAAGTGATTCAGGCTGCTTTACGGGACGTGGCGAGAGCCACCTAATTGGGAGGCGGTGCTGAGGAGAGAAGGTTCCTGGCCCAGCCACCTGGACCCAGGCCCTTCCCTCCGGGGCTTCTTGGTTCTGTAGCCAGGGTGCCTGTAGAACCGCTCCAGGCTCAGGGCTGAAATAAAGAGGGTGGGTTTGGGGGCTCAGGGGCCTCTCTTGGCTCCCCACCGTGAGTCTCACTCCCCCACATACAAGCCGAGATTACTTTAATCAAAAGAGAGGAAAGTAAAACCCACAGTTCTTGTTCAGAACAAAACAAAACAAAATTAATGTTCTCCATTGTATGTTCAGTCACGTTTAAAAGGAAAAAGCCGAGCAGCTGATAATTTCACAGCGTAAGCTCCCAGGAGAGTAAATGAGCTTTTTTTTTTCCTTTTTAATAAAAAGTTTAAATTGTATACAGCTCTCAGAGGCCCATTAACTAACAGATGCTGGTTATCAAAAGAAGTTATTTCTTTGCTTTTTCTAAGCGAATGTGTTTAATCTCCCAGCGGTGCCGAGAGCGGCTGGTGGTGGCGTGACGGGGACCCTGCACCTCGCCCTGGTCTCCTGGGGTGGGTGACTCAGTCAGGATGCAGCTGCGGGGGGGTGGGGGGGGCAGCAGCTTCCCACAGGGACAAGTCAGGGCCACCTCAGGGCCCCTAGTGCAGTTTTGCGGGGAGGGGCCTACACACCTCCAGGGCTGACCCTGGGTAGCAGGGGCCACCTCCAATCTGCTGGTGACCTTAGTGACTGAGAGCCGGGTTCCTGTCGCACACATGACCCGTTAGGTGGAAGTGAGGTCAGGAGTAAATTACCTGCCTTCACACTCAAGGAACAGCCTAGCTTTCAGACAGACCCTCCTTTGATCCTCCCACCTCCACCCTCCACCCCAGCCAGGGGCTCCCTGCTACTCCTAATACTTCCTGGACCCTTTGCACAGGCCCTGCCTCTTCCTGGAAGCTCTGCCACCCACTCCCACTCAGCCCCTCACACCCCTTGGATCTTCACCCCACAGCACTTGTCAGTGAAAGTCCCTCTTCTTTCCTTTCCTTTTTCCTTGTCGACAGTGGCCATGTCTGACTTGTTCCCCACTGTACCCCCAGTGTGTGCTGGCACATGATAGGAGCTCAGCAAACACTGGCTGGATGAATAAATGCTGGGTACTGGTTGGAGGCTAAGAACTTGGGCATCAAGGTGACAACTGCATACCCTAAATACTGGCATGGAATGCTGATGTTTCTGTCTTCCTTACTGTTACTCTTTTAATAAGATGGGCAGAACAGAACTCAGAGCTGAGCTGGAGGAAGCCGGTGTGCTAGCCAGGCTCTTTAGGAAGGGCATTGGGCCAACTACCGTCCTAGAACAGAGGACCACAGAGCCTAATGCGGGACCCCCAAGGGCCTATCTCGCCTGTGATGTGGGGGAGACTGGGAGACCCTGGGCCTCAACCTGGTGATTCTGGGAGCCATCCAGCACCAGCACCTAGAAGGCCCATCACTAGTAACAGATTCAAGAGGAATCCATGATGTGTCCTAAGAGGAAGGCTTTACACAGAGAACCTCCCAGTGAGTATGGGACTTTTCCCAGTTACATCGTATTCATCTCCCAGAGATTAATAACCTACTATGCTTATTCCTATATTTGGTAATTTTTAATTCCACAGGAATTACAAAACAAAAGTGGTCATTACTTCTGTTGAAATCCACTGTGTCTGTTGAATAAGACCCACATATATTAACGGAACACCAACAAGGTGCCAGGTATGGATCGGGGTGCCTGGGGGGGAAGATTCCACACTTCTGGCTAAAGTGGCTGATGGAACATATACTAGCACTTTACCTCTCCTTCCTTCTGAAGCCTCATTAAATTGCAGGAACTTTCTAAAAAGGCACAAATCATATGGATAAACACAAAAGGAGAAGAGAACACAGTCAACAAGAGATGTCAGCAAAACTCTGGAATCTGGAAAGCTGATGGGCAAAGTATCATTGACAGCAGATCACAGAAAGCAGAAAAAAAGTGCTGGTTGAGAGGCAGAGCTTGAGGCAGGTCCACTCATTCCCCAATGGCCAGGGATTGGCAGCCCAAGCCCCTGAACAACAGAAGAGCAGGGAGGCAGAAAATAAGAGGACTCGTTCAAAGTACACAACAGTAATTTGTTGTCTGTACTCCCCGTAAGAAACCAGAAATTTAACCAGGAGATCTCTGGACTAGGAGACTGTTCAGGGCAAGGCTCAAGCTGGAAGCAGAGGTAGCAAAGAAAACCCTACACATAAAAGTGAGGGTGCATGGCTGCCTTGTCCTTGAGAGATGATGGCCAAGATTCCTCTGTAGAGAAACGAGCCCCAGGTAGACAACTACAGATACTGAAACTCCTCAGGAGGTGTGTTATAGAAACCCACCATTCATATCCCAGCTCCGCCTGTGCAGGTGCCCGTCAGCTTGCTAGTGCTGCACTCTCCATAAGGACATTCAAGGCCACAGGCACTGGAGGAAAATCTCCAAAACGATAAAGACACCAACCTAGTCCAAAGTGCTTAGTAGATAGAAGATAATACAAGCAATAGAGCAACAATAATTATACTATTATCAGTAAAAACAATGGTTACCTTTTAAAGACCACAACAATTTTTTCAGTCCCTCTTATAGAACAACAAAGAACTTATAGAATAACACAAGATCTACAATTCTTTATTGATTTCAGAGAGGAAGGAGAGGGAGAGAAAGAGAGAAGCATCAATGATGAGAATCATTGATTGGCTGCCTCCTGCACACCCCATACTGGGGATCGACCCCACAACCTGGGCATGTACCCTGACTAGGAATCAAACCATGACCTTCTGGTTCATAAGTCAACACTCAGCCACTGAGTCATGCCAGCTGAGAAAGAACTACGATTTCTTCAGTGAAAAGAAAATATTATATAACTATCAAGACCAGGTTGCCCTCCTATATATTATAATAAAAGCCTAATATGCTAAGTGTCTGGTCGTTTGTTCAACCAATCAAAGCATAATATGCTAATGATATGCTAAGGCTGGTCAACTGCTCACTATGACATGCACTGACCATCAGGAGGCAGACAATCAACCAGTAGAACAGTAGCTGACCACCATGGGGCAGGCGCTCTGACCAATAGGTCAGTTTGCTGCTGGGGTTTGGCTGATCAAGACTGCGCAAGATGGGCCGGACAAGCCCTGGAGCCCTCCCGTGGCACCTCCCCAGCTGGGAACCTCCCACACCCTTCTCGGCCCCAATCATGCCACAGTGGGTTCCCTTGGTCTGGCCTGCACTTTCTCACAATCTGGGACCCCTTGGGGGCTGTCAGAGAGCCGGTTTCGGCCCAATCCCAAAGGCCAGGCCGAGGGACCACACTGGTGCATGAATTCATACACCAGGCCTCTAGTAAACAAATAATAGTAACTGGAAAGAAAATAATCCTTGCAAATTATAAATTATAAATATAATAGGAGAAAATAAAAAGACAGTTTAAAATTAAAGTTGAAAAATTTCCTCTAGAAATTTCTTTTTAAAAGAATCAGGAATTGTCATCAGATTTCTTAAGGGCAACTCTGGAAGCTGGCAGTCAGTGAATGATGCTTTCAAAATCCTCAGACTGACTTCTAATCTTGATTTTTAAATATTTTTATACCTAGTACAACTATCAACATGGTGGAAGGGCCAGATATGTCAAGTTCTCAGAAAAACGGCCCCCACATATCCCTTTCTCAGAAACCTGCTAAAGGATGTGTTCCACCAGAATGAGGTAGTAAAACAAAATGAAGCCAGAGATCCAGAAAACAGGGGAATGACCCAGAAGGGAGTTCCCAAGATGAGGGTGAATGAAAGGTCGAGAGCAATGAGTCTACAAGAGAATGCAGAGCTCCAGAATGACCTTTCTAAGGAAAAACATGAAAATCACAGATTAGCTGAAATGTGAATGTACTCAAGAGATTTCTACTCTGTCAGGGTCTAGAGCTGAATTTATGATAGATCCATAAGAAACAATGCAAAAAAAAAAAAAAAAAAAGATTGATATGTAGCAACCTTAGGGGAGAAATGGATATATATAAAAGGGGAATGTATCATAGGACACACATAGCTGTGAACAATACTTTAGGGAATCTTGATCATGCAAAAGGATACTGACTTGGCCAAAAAATACACTATGAGAGGCAGAGGAAAGGACAGTGTGCTTCCAATGGGGTGGAGAAAAGGGTTCT